TGGAGTGGTGGAGAAGGTCTGTGCCCCTAGCTGCCCTTCGTGCTACGTCTTTACATGAGAACATGTGCTGCATGGCTGGAAATGACCAATGTGCTGTTGGATAACACAAATCGTTGCATGTCGAAGTCTGTAGCTGCCGGGTTTGGTGGTGCATGCCTTTAATCCCAACCCTTGGGGGGCAGATATAGGTAGATTTCTGTTGAGTTTAAGGTCAGGCTGGCCTAACCCTGAGTCTACATAACCAGGGCTATGTAAAGAGACTCTGTTTCAAAAATAAATAGAAAGAAGCGTGTGTCTACTCCTTGCAGTGTCTAGCTTAGATCCACAGAGCAGTTTGCACAAGAACTCATTTCTTCCCATCCACTGATGGCTCCTGCTGCAACCACCACAGGGAAGTGAGTCCTACCTTGACCTCATGACTCATCCTTGTTCAACTCTGCCCCTAGTTCAGCAAATACTACCACCCAGTCCTACTAGTACCCTTTCCCAAGTACCTTTCAAACCCATCCTGCCCCTTACAAGCCGCTAGTCCAAATTCTCCACGTTTCTCCCCTGAAAGCAGAGGGTCTCTCCCCACTGGCTGAGGCTCATGTATGATGGAGGCCTCGGCAGAATTTCCTCTCCTCCTTCCTGGAGGCAGAACACTGCCTCTCTACTCCTCTGTGCGAATCTGACCTCTTGCTGGTCCCTTTCTGAACTTGATACACAGGAGCTCACATGTATTCAGTCCCTTCAAGGCCATCACCCTGTGGGCAGTGCTGTATGTAGCAAGAGGCCCTCAGCTCTCTGAGGGCAGTGCTGTCCTAGCTACATCTGACCCTTGGGGCTTGGCATAGTATATATGTATATATGCAGAATAAATGTTCAGCAAATGACCGACTATGTTCTTTTTCTGTTTCTTATGAACCAACCATAGACTTCTGTAAGAAGGTGAATGTTAAGAACGGCGGGGGCACGAGAATGCTAAGAGTTAAGGTCTAATTTGGGTTCAAAGGATATATTGTAAGGTGGTCCGTGTGCGCAATAAACCCTTAACAAGGTCCGGGGAAGAAATTCTCATTAAAAAAAAAAATGCTAGAATTCAAAATATTCAAATTTCTCTGTAAGATCTGATCGTGTTGGAAGGCTGCTGCAGAGTCCGTCCTTGGCTCTGTGGCCACGAGCCGAGGTGACAGCTTTTCATCACCCCGAGAAGGAGATCTGTCTTGAGCCTTCTGCTTCCCTCTGTGCTACTGGCCCGTCCCATACAGCCTCCTCACTCTGTTTTCCGAAGGAAGCTTGTCTCCCCAGTCCAAACCCCTGCCCTGCCCCTGGCACCCGCAGCTTCACACTCTCGGGACACAGAGTCCTCTCGCCTCCCCTGACTGGTTCCCAATAATTTAATGATTGGGTTTCACACCACTGGCTGAGCGCCCCATCTGCCTGATAGGGTGCTCTTGGGGTTGAGCCCTGAGGTCTGGCAGCCTCCTCTTCTCTGGTTCTCTCTGGCCCAGTGGGCTGACTGATCGAGCCTTTGTCTCTCCCCTGTGGATGCTGGCCCAGCCCAGGAGGGAGTTCCTCCCGGCCATTCCTCTTCCCTTAGCTTTGGCGAGATCACACTGGCTGGCCCACAGAAGGGGATACGAAGTTAACTTTCTCAGTAAATCTTCCCTCTGGACTCTTCAAGATAGAACAATCATTTGTTCCCATAGATAAGCCGTGAATCCAAATGCTTAAAAAATTGAAACCAGATTAATAAAGCCACAGCAGCTGCCAGTATCTTAGAATTCTAGGTGGAGCTTTGCCCCTGGAAGGTCTTAAGGCTTTGGGAAAACAGGAACGCCTAAGCTGGGAACTCGTACCAAATAAAATATTAGTTTAGCCTGTAGAATATGTGTGTGCTCTTGTTTAGTTTCAGGTCAATAATTTTAATTACTGTCTTTCAGTTAACAGTTCAAATATTAGAGGGAGAAAACCAGATACTGTCTTCTTGGCACACACAAAACCTTCACAGCTTTAAATCAGTAGAAAAAGCAACACCGAGAGCAGAGAATGTAACACTGTAACCACAGATAACTCTATAACAGGATCCACAACTGATTATTAATTAAATCAAATAACTGCTGAGCACACAATAATTGAACAAATTGCCTACTGTCTCTGTGCTCTTGGGTTATTTGGACCCAGGGCTATTTAGTGGACATTTTCTAATCTGTGCTGGGAACACCCAGGAGTTGTTTGGGCGGACACAACTCAATACAGACCTCAGAGCCCTGACTTCCTTTTGCAGGAGGGTGTGTCTCCTGGCCCTGGACCCTGGGCTGCCAGACATCAGGGCAGGTGGGATGATTTCACCAGTTGAAGAAACAGTAAGTGACTTGTCTCAGGCTGTGCCCCAGAAAATGGCTGTCACCAAGCCTCAGGTTTCATGTGAGGAGAACTATGGGCAGTACAGAGCAGTGTAGGAAGCAGAATCAAGGCCTTGTCAAGACACCCATGTTCCGAAAACCCTTGAATCTGCAACTGAGGTACCTCACTTGCAGAGGTATATGGGAAAGTGGGTACTCAGTTGACTTAAATAAAGACAATATCCCGGATTACCTGGGGAGTCCTTGTAATGACAAGGCCCCCTGGCTGAGGATAATAGGGGGCCTGGGAATAAGAATCAGAGTGGAGTGAATGGGCAATGGCTCTACCTTGCTATGACTAAGGTAGGGGAAAGGCCAAGGCATAGGGGTTGGCACCCCTCACCTAGAAAAAAAATGCAGGGTTTCTCTGCAGGGCTCCAAAGAAGAGTCAGTTCCGCTGACACCTTAGTTCAGGAAGTTCATCTCCACCTCCCTGAAGCTCAAGAGCTACGGTTTTGACTGTAGGTGGCTGAATTTTGCATTTCAAAATCATTACAAGTATTCTTGGATAAATATTACAGCACTAACAAATCAACAAATCAACCACGGTCTACTTTACTTCAATCATTTTTTCATGCTATTGGCCTAGAACACTGTATTGTGCAAATAAAATTTGCATGGTGGACTATAGTAAAATTGTATAATTTTGTATTTTATTTCATATTATACATGCTTCTTCCACTGTATTATTTCTCATAATTCTAAGTGCTGCTTGACATTTCACCAGACTGATTTCTAATAATTAAAAAAACTGTTTCTATTTGCTGGGCATCCGTTTCCTTTCAGTGTGATTAAGGCTTGATGTCAAGTATTGCTATAGTGAACATCACTGGTGTGATGGTAAGTGTTGTCAACTTGACAGAATTTAGGATTTCCTGGGAGCTGGGCCTCGGGGCATGCCTTCGTTAAATGAGGCGTGAGTACCCACCAAAGCAGATGGCATTGTCCCTGGGTAGGGTCCTGGCCTGCATGAGCGGTGAAAGGAGGCTGAGCAGCAGAAAGCCTGCACTGCTGTGTTCCTCATTAGGGATGGGATGTCATGCGGCCGGCCGCTTCAGGTTCCTGTTGTCCTGTCTTCCCCGCAATGTTGGACTGTACTTGTGCACTGTGGCAGAAAACCCTTACATTGATATGGTCAGGGTCTTTTACCCTAGCAACAGGAAAATAATGAAGGAACTGGGTACGTGCAACTTTCCTTCTCTTAGAAGATTTTATTACAATTAAATCACCTAGGACGTAAATACTTGTGTTTCCATGGTGATCAACAAATGCTTCCTCACGCTATCATGTCAAAGGCGGAGGATGTAACTTAGGGTTAGAGAGCTTGCTTGTTCAGCATGCAGGAGGCGCTAGGTTTGATTTCCACATGTAAAAATCCATTGTGTCAATTTATCAAGCTACCAGCAATGTACAGGTACACACAGCCAGCCTTGTTAGTGTTGCTGGTTAACTTTCAAAATTGTTGTATTAATGTCTCCAAGTGCGCTAGTAATGGCTTCTGATGAGCAAAGAGACAGATGTTCATTTCAGGCTTTTATATTTATTGTGACACATAGGAGATGCTTGTCTTTGGGTTTTTATATTTATTCTGATGCATGAAAGTAACTTGAATTGCAGAATCTCAAAGGATTGTTAAAAAAAAAAAAAAGACAATCTACACGATCCAACCATTAACATTAGGAATCATGGCACAAAGTGGTGATTTAACCAGTTTAATACATTCACTGTGGAGAAAATCAATCTGAGGAATCCTGAAGTCATGCTGGAGAACCTCCTCATGATGGCCCTCCTCTAGATAGCTTCTGGTTGGGGTTGGTCACCTGGAAGGTCAACTACATGTTTGGAGGGTGAGATTTCAGTAATCATGAGCTCCAGGGAGTGGGAGCTGAGTGAAGGACTGAAGTCGGCCAACAAGGATTGAATTACCCAGGTCTGCATCAGGTCACAGAAGGAAGCAAGGAGTTACCACTTGCTGTATGCAAACAGGTTAATGGCTTTGCGCATGCGAAGAGAGAGGGGACAGCAACTTGCTCTTGATGCTGACCTAAGGGAACAGGACAGTACAGAATGGTGCACCGAGACCTGGCTGCTGACAGATTCACACATGCTTCCCTTCGGTCTTGTTCTGACCTCCATCCTAACTTCTCGCAGTCAACTTCTTTGTCTTCCTTTGCTTCTCAAGATGCTGCTGTGTCCTGCTCAAGGTCTGGGTGTGGTACAGACTTGGTGCTGGCACTTTACAAATGACCAACAGAACTGGGAGACTCCAAAGTCCATGGTGCATGAGTAACTTAGGGTATGGTTTGAATAAGTCATTTTTGGTGTATCCTCATGTCGTGGAAGAAGCAAAGAGCTTACCCTGAGTCTCCTTCCAGGGCTCCATGATTTGGTCACCTCTCTAAAACCTCCTAACACCATTTGGGAGTGGTGGTTTCCAGCCATGATTTGTGAGGGAAAACAGAATCATTCAGATTATAGAAGAGGGGCCAACGATAAATGGGGTCTCTCTCACTCTCATTTGATCTGCTCCTTCCAAGGAGCCTGGACTGCTGGATCATCTAGTACACATGACACCACAAATTGCTTTAAATTTCAGAGGCCATTCCCACTGGGCTTCATTCCTTCACTTTATTCAGGGGATGAATAACAAAGCTGTAGAACAGCCATGCCACAGAATACTGTTTGGCAACAAAAAGGAATTGTCTGCTGCCACACATGACATGAATGAATCATCAGAGCATTAATTACATGGTGAAAAGGCCAATGCCACAAAGTCACATATTGTATGATTCAACTGCTTATCACTAAAATGACAAGGTTTTGGAAGTGGAGTTAGATTTACTGAGTTGGAAACAGCAGCTGACATGAGCAACCAATCACATTACAGAAAACTGCAATGAGCTGAGTGACACCTTCAAGCTCACTGAGACTCAGTACCTCTGTTAGGTGCCGGAGCAGCATGAGAATGTGGTGTCACACGACTATAACCCAACACTTGGGATGTGGACAGGAGGTCTGCAAGCTCCAGGCCAGTCTGGGCTATAGAGAGACCCTGTGTCAACACAATGAAGAGTTACCAACCTGATGGTATATCCAGGCTTTTCACATTGTAATGCAATGTGGTCATCTACAAAGTTCACTCACAAGAACTGTGCAATTGAGTTACCTCTCAACACACACACACACACACACACACACACACACACACACACACACACACACCCCTCTTATAATACTTTTAAGTAAGTTTATAATTTTGTATTAGCCACATTCATAGTTATCCTTTGACAAATATGACACATGGGCCATGGGTTGGACAACCCAGACATAATTCAGTCCTAGCAGCTGACTTTGCATAGAGAACCTTGCGGTAGCCATTTGAGGCTGAATGATAGCCATTCAGAAGGCAGAGTCACTGTACAAAATTTTCAGACCCATCTTCCTTAACTGCTTTGAAAAGTATCTCAAAGACATAAGTGTAATCTTAACAATGCATGGTTGACTTTCCTATCTAGACAGAGCATATTAACAAAGCTCTCAGAGTCCAAGCCAAGAAAGTTAGGGGTTTGCTTGATTGTTTAGGACTAAAGCAATTTAAATCAATTTCCATTCTGTAATTGGGAGTAAAGTATCTTGAAGACAAAAGTTCTGTGACCTTTTCATCATGGTCATTATTAGTATTGTATAAAAAGCCCAATTGGTGCTGGCCAAGATTTCTGTGAAATACAATATGAGTCATGAATAAATTACATAAAAGAGTTTTGAAAAGCTGGCGATGTAGCTCAGTGGTAGAGTGCCTGCTTAGCTAGCCCTGGATTTAATCTCCAGCACCACACACACACACACACACACACACACACACACACACACACACACACCTACACACCCCACTGAAGATAAAAACAACAGCACACGAGGTAATGTGCGACATCAAGCCTTAAGCTGTACACTGGTTCCTTCTTTCCATGGCTGTTTTTCTTGAGTGTTGAGGACAGCAGCCATTGTCTCTCATTGTAGCAATTGGTAGTTGTCAAAGTCACAGACTTTGTGTTGGGTGATGGAATCTAAACAGAGGAAAAAAAAAAAGGCAGCTTGACAGTTAAGATAGCTGGTTGCAACACAGGTAATCCTCTTTGTTTTACAAAATGATAGTTTAAACATCTTAAATATTTCAGAACTACTCACAGACCCATTGGATTTTAAAAGTAAAATGAAATAAAGTAAAACAAAGTAATTACTTCCCAGAGAAAGTTAGGTGGCTGGTCAGCTGGTCAGCACGGTGTGCCACAGTTGCCCCCAATCCCTCTCTGCTATGGCTGGGATGTGTAATGGTCCACCGGCTGGAGGTGAAAGCTCAGTTCCCAGCTAGCGGTGCGGGTGACTTTTTGAGGTGGAGCCTATCAGACGAAGTGGGTGTCTGAGGTGGGTCTTGGGTTGGATCTTGCCCTGGTACCTTCTCCTCTCTCCCTGTGCTTCCCAGCTGCTTTGCTCTGCTCTGCAGGACACACCCCTAATCATGATGCTTTGCCCACCCACGGCCCCAAAGTAGTAGAACCAGCCAACAATGCACTGCGATTGCTGAACTGAGGCCTACAATACATCCTCTCATGGCATTTTTCTCAGGACTTTGGTCATAGGAATAGAAATTTTGACTAATATACTGTCATTGTCCATACTAAGAAGCTTACTACTCACAAGTGTCTTCTTACTATAAAAATAAAAAAGGAACCGCAGCTGACTGTCAGTACTCACTGGCTGACAAGCTTAATCACATTGATTATAGCATCTCCCATCACAATTGCAGAGAAGTAAGACGATGATATTTGGAGGGTCCTGAAGAGCGATGCTAATGAAAGATGGATGGACAGCTATGAAGGTTGTGTGGAACAGGGGAGAAAGGGGTTCCTTCTAGAAACAAAGAAAAAAAATAAAGGGAAAGCAGAAGAAATAAAAAAAAAAAAGCTCATCTTAGTTTGGGCTTAAAGTGTCTGAGAGTTTCCCAGTTGCCTTCCTCTATAGATACCCTTCCATATAAGAATGTGAGCTGGAGAGGGGTTCCCTGGTAGGCTTCAGAGGGAGGAACACATTGACTAGTACTTGGTGTGTGTGTGTGTGTGTGTGTGTGTGTGTGTATATATATATATATATATATATATATATATATATATATATATATATATATATATGCAATCGTGTACACACGCACATTATTATATATAGGTAAGACAACTACTGTCAGTATGGGAACACCATTTAGTTTACTGTACAATGGTGAAGTAGCCCTTATGATTTATACCTTCATCTGAGCTTGTCATGATGCATACTGTACTATGTTTTTGTTTTTTGTTGTGTCTTTTGCTTTTTGTCTTTTTTTTTGTACACACTTCTGCCATGTAAAAGCCGTTGTCTTCCTTATGTGTTTACATTATATTGACGTTTGGTTTTGTGCCTAGGTTTTAAGCCACAGATGAAGATATGCTCTCTGTACCCAGTCTATAAAGTAATTCAGCCATATTTCCATCCAGGTTGTAAGAGCTCTTTGGACTCCAGTTTTACACATGGAATCATACTGGATCATTTATAAGGCTAGGAAAAACAAAACAATTTGTCAAAAGAATGCCTCTTCCTACTTAATATGAAAATTCAATACAACCAGAAACTTTCAAGTTTTATAAAAGAGTAAATTAATGTATTGACTCTAACATAGGAATACAGATTTGAAAAGGAGAACCCAGTGATAAAAAGGACTGAACTGTTGTAATTACAGCAGTAAAGTCCAATGTGTTTGCACAGAACAAATAGAACACTGCAGGGAAATGCGAAATGAACCCATAAAAAGGAGGCGAGCGAAACGGGGCAGAGAGACAGGTCAGACAAATGAGAAACCCCGTTTCCCCAATCCTTCACACAGTGAGGCAACTACAGGCAGCGGACAGCTCCAGACAGTAAGAAAACCATTCCTCGTCAGCTTTTTGAAACAGGCTTTTATGTAGTCCAGGTTGTACATGAACCTGACACTCCTGCCTCCTCATCTCCCTGTGCCACCAGTACACAGCTAGGAATTTTAAGCAGAAAAGATGCAGGAGATGTGCTTGAAATTGAGGCAACAGCTCTCCCCGTCTCGTTCCTGCTCTCCTTCGCTCTTTTCTTCTTAAAACAAAAACAAAATCTCTATCCCCCACACCCACCCTGCTCTTTAATAGGTCCTGGCACACATCTAGGGCAAGCCACACTTTTCTAACCACACTTCTGTGTGGTCTTAGGGTTAATGTATGGTACCAACATGCTGCCAACATTCATGTTTTATGGCGTGGAGGACAAATATATTTAACTGAAACTCGGTAGCCAGTGGCTGATGACATTGTGCCAGCTCAAGAGCACTGGGGACTGGGCTTTATCTTTGCTTATCAAAGGTCCAGAAGAAAGCTCAGTGGCCATGTGCACAAAGTCATTCAGTTAGGCATTCCCTCTTCACTATGGGATGAGCATTAACTAGTCTCTGGGATGAGCATTAACTAGTCTCTGGGAGTTATGTAAAGCAAGAACTTCACCCTTCAACAGTAGGGGCTCAGATTATGGATTCCCCTGTCTTAGTGCGTCTTAGTTAGGGTGATGAAACACTGTGACTAAAAGCAACACGGTGAGGAAAGGGTTGATTTTGCTTACATTTCCACATCACTATTCATTATTGAAGGAAGTCAGGACAGGAACCTCCTCCAGACAGGAGCTGGCGCAGAAGCCATGGAAGGGTGCTGCTTACTGGCTTGCTCCTTATGGCTTGCTTAGCCTGCTTTCTTCTAGAACCCAGGACCACCAGCCCAGGGATGGCACCACCCTCAATGGGCTGGGCCCTCCCCCATCAATCACTATTTAAGAAAACGCCCAACAGACTTGCCTATAGTCTGCTCTTATGGAGGCATTTTGTGAACTGGGGTTTCCTCCTCTTAGATGACTCTAGTTTGAGGCAGGCTGACATACAAACTAGCCAGCACAATTTTCAAAGCACTCTCTAATGATAAACCTAGTGCTACCCCCTGTATAATCATCACAGGTTGACCTCAGTTCTGTCTGGAGCCAATGGAGCAGGTCTCTCCTGCTGTCCGGTCATCCCACAGGCTGGGCCAAACTTGGCTCTTTCAGCATGGCTCCCCAAAACTTGCTTGTTCAGACTCTCCTTGTGGCTGTTCTGGACACTCAGAATTCAAGTCTAGGGGTGACTACCATTCCTCATTTCTCCTATATCCTGTCAGCAACAGCCACTGACATGTCAATTATATTTAATGTGACGACAACATGCCTGCACGGGTATCAGCCTAGCATCCCTAACCACCCTTGCTGATCAGCCGAGCATCCAGGGGCCAGCATCACTGAACATGCATCGCAGCCTCCCTCCCCTATGGAGCTCTTTCCCACTTGCACTTCACGACACCCACACCTCCAGGCCCATTCAGGGCAGCCGGCTTCTCGGGCCTCGTTCCCCTCCCTTGGTCTTCTCTTCTTCCTTTCAATTACCCCAGGCTTGACTGCTTCTCCTGACTGAAGCACCTTGCACCCCCCAGGCCAGGACACAAGTCTCTCCAGCCCCTCTTCCTTATTCAGTCCTTGGCTCCAAAGCAGTTCTTGGCGAGGACCTCCCCCGCCCCCTTCATTCCTGCACCCCATCTTCTGCATAGTATCTACCAGTACTGTTGTGTAAATCTGTTTTCTGTCTTTCTTAGAGTGTAAGTCTCACAGGGGCAATGACTGTGTCTTTCTTGTCAGTGTTTCATATATAGTGCCTAAGAACATGTTCAGCCCACAAGCAGTGCAAAATACGATGAATGAGACTTGATGCTGTGTGTGTGTGTGTGTGTGTGTGTGTGTGTGTGTGTGTGTGCGCGCGCGCGCACGCGCGTGCCATGCACACTCGAGGCAGCTGACATTGACTGGCAACTCGACAGGTTGATAATCACCTAGGAGACAAGCCTCTTGGCATATCTGTGAAGAAGTTTCTAGATTAGATGAACTGAAGTGGGAAGACCCACCCAAAATGTGGAAAGCACCATTCCATGAGCTCGGGTCCTCGACTGAGAAGGAGAAAGTGAGCTGAGCAGCAGCCCTCGTCTCTCCGATTTCTGACGGGGATGAGATGTGTCTGACGCCTCTTGCCCTGCCTTCCTGACTCCCACCATGATGGATTTCATTCTCAACTGTGGGCAAGAATAAACTCCCCCTTCCCCCTTAAGTTGCCGCTGTCAGATACTTTCTCAGAGCAAAGAGACAAGTAACTAATTCTTTTTCATGAGGGAAAATGCTTGGTCTAAGGCACTTCCTTTCAGCTCCAGTATTGCCCAGAGCTACCCTTAACCTGGCATCTGTCTGAGGGTACACAGAGGACTTAACCATGGGCAAGACAGTCTGCCCTTGCCTCTCACTCACAGGGCTTCTCCTTGCTGTCCTGGACATGGAAATAAAATGCCCGTGCAACCTACTATTTTCTCTATTTTATAATCATCACAGGGTCTGCTATATTGGCCTCAGTGGTGGATTTTGTCATGTTCAACTTTGCTGACTTAGTTGTGGCAGTTTCTTGTTTCTATGTAGACAACTGCACCATGCAAAGATGGTTTCCTCTCATCCTTTAAGCCCCCACCCCTTTTTCTGTTTACTTGACCGGCTACCCCAGAATACTGTTGAAAGGGTCATAGCACTACTGTGCTTCTTCTACCTGACTTGAGTCTTACGCTAAGGTTCTCACTATTAAATAACTTGCCATAGTTATTTCTTCACAGATAACGTGGGCAGGTTAAGAAGGTTCCTGTCTGCTCCTGGAACTTGAGGCATATTGCCATGGGTGGATGCTCAATTATCTTTCATGCTTTTAAACACGACTGGGAAAAATAACCAATGAAGAAAAATCATGTTACTCATTTTTCTCATGTTCTTAGGCTGATACTTGGTTATGTACATTTTATTTTTAGCACACCACTACACTGGATTTCCTAAGATTTCATTTTAGGTTTTTAATATCCATGCTGACGAAATGAGTGATTAGATTAAGATCAATAGCCTTGGAAAACAGGGT